AAAACCCCAAAGCTACCCACGCTCCTTCCAGCCCATCCCATACACATCACCACTGATCGCTGATCTTCCCACAAAGGTAAAGACAAGAACGTGTGCATACACCAGGCTGCATGCTGCAAAGAAAGAAGAAAAACTGGATGCTGGGGATGCTTGATACAAACTTAGGGAACCCTCTTCACGTTACCTGTAGTCAGGAGACCCCAATTTCTTGCACAAGCACTCAGTGAGGGTGAGCATATAGGCAAACCCCACAGTCCTCTGACCTCTTGTAGCTGAGCCACGTGCCCCAGGAACCTCAGCTGGCCCCAGGGCAAGGTCACTGCTGGTGGGGTGGAGACCAGACTGAGCTAAACCCTTGGGCTTGAGATCATCCCGACAATCCTGACTCTGAGAGGTTGTTTCGAAACAGCAGGCGTGATATGGGAAGGCAGCCACCAAAAAGAGGAGGCACGCACTCTCAGCTGCAGCACAACCCTGTGCTGATTGATTCACTGCTCATACCTGAACCGAGGCTTCCTGTCACCTATTACTTCATGTGGATACACAGAGCCCACAAGCTTGAACACGTCAAACTCTCCTTTTCAGACCGGTCTGCTGCCACAGCTCCTCAGCACCTCTCCAATCTGGCCTCTAAGGTAAATCGGTAAGTGGGTGTTAAGAGTGGCAAATGTTTCAGACCCCCAAGTTATAGATATGGGTCTTAACGTTCCTCAGTACCCATTCAAACTAAAAGAGGGAGGTTTAAATTAGATGTTAGGGGGAAATATTTCACTCAGAGTGCAGTGAGGCCCTGGCATTGCTGTCCAGAGAGCTGTGGATGCCCCATCCCTGGAGGTGCCCAAGGCTATGGATCTCATGGGGGACAACCACCCCATAGCAGGGGTTGGATGGGCTTTAAAGTCCCTTCCAACCCAACCATACTGTGATTCTGTGACCTCATCTGCAGCACATCCCATTCCAACTAGGGATGCAGGATGAGGCTCTGCACTCACTACAGTGACAACAAGGAACCTACCAGCACAGGGTGGTGTTATTCATCTTGTGCTTCACGGGTCAACGTGGTGGAAGCCAGGAAGGATGCCTGCACCTCCCCTTTGTCAAACACAGGCGAATTTCAGGGGAAGGAATTTGGCAAGCAAATGAAAAGAGATCAGGGCTGTCTAACCAGAAGACACAGGAACGTGGCTCTCCCTCCCAAATATGCCCTCAGCTCCACCTCCTGCTCCCTCCCACCTGCAGTGTCTGCCTTTGGTCTTGCACACAGGATCTAATTTTTGCTTTAGAGTTGCAGGAGATGGCGTGGTACAACCTGACTCATGCAGGAGGCAGAGGTTACGTTCTCGTCAACGCTTCTGAAGCTGCAGAACACTTGTGTTCCATCTTGGGCCCAAATTAACATTAATTACTGCACACAAAATGGAGCTGCTTCAACAGGAGGAAATTAGGACAACAAATTATCCCGGAATAGAGAGGACTTGATGCTTAAGGAAGCAATCTGTCTGTACAGAATAAAAAGGGCATTCCAGCCAGACAGTGGAAACAAACTGTCCCCACCACCATTTTTAGCAGGTGGCCAACCTCAATGTTTGTTACAGTAGCCACCAGGGCTTCCTACACTGAAACCCAACCCACACACAACAGTTTCGAGTATTGCTATCAAAACTGCAGCCACAGTAAACACAGAGGTCTCCTATGTGTAACCAGGGCAGAAGCAGAGCTGATGACCACTGATCACAGCTTTGGGTCAGGGCAGGGATCACAGGCCATCCTCACCACGTGGGTTTCTGTGATCACGCTCTGGTTGCTGCCACAGCTCCAAAGCCACAAGTGCAGCTCATTCATTCACAGCCAGCTCTCATTGCTCAACATAAACACAGACTGTGCTGCAGCGAAACCAGCACGCTGCTCAGCACACACCAACGAGCAGGCATGCATCCAGAAACAGGCACAGATTTGGAGTTGCCCACGCTGAGCTTAGCACCATCAGCACCACCGTGACTGCTCTGACATGTGGCCACATTCACAAGCGAGGTGCACAGTCACAACCACCCCATGCAGTGCTATAGGAGTGGGGCAGAGAAGCTGGGAAGCTGTATGGAGGAAAAGGATCTGGTGGTGCTGATGCTGAGCATGATGAGCCAGCAGTGTGCTCAGGTGGCCAAGAAGGCCGATGGCATCCTGGCTTGAACAAGAGGTAATGGCTTCAAGTTGCCATGGGAGGTGCAGACTGTATATTAAGAAAGATTTCTGCTCTTGAAGAGTGGTGATGCAGTGGCACAGCTGCCCAGGGAGGTGGTGGGGTCACCATCCTTGGAGATGTTCAAGAGCCACAGAGATGTGACATAGTGGGCATGGTGGGGATGGCTTGGGGCTGATGATCTTAGAGGTCTTTTCTGACCTTAATGATTCTGTGCTTCTGCAGCAAACCAGAGAGGCAGTCCCACTGCAGCTGGGCTACAAAGCGGAAAAGAAAAAATCTGAGACGGGAGGTTTAGGTTGGATATTAGGAGGAAGTTTTTCACCCAGAGGGTGGTGATGCACTGGAACAGGTTGCCCAAGGAGGTTGTGGATGCCCCATCCCTGCAGGCATTCAAGGCCAGGCTGGATGTGGCTCTGGGCAGCCTGGTCTGCTGCTCAGTGACCCTGCACATAGCAGGGGGGTTTAAACTAGGTGATCATTGTGGTCCTTTTCAACCCAGGCCATTCTATGATTCTATGAAAGAAGCTGCCCAGGGAACAGTAAGGATGTGCAACCTCAAGAGTGATGGCTGAGCAGATGTGTAACATGGCACATGCTGTGTCTGAGAAGAGGGTTTCCAGTGGCTTTATGGGTTTATGGAAAGGAAAAGACTTAGAAAGAAAACCATTCTCTGTCAGAGAAATAGAAAGCACAGCTGGTTCAGACCAGGCACTTGCAATACCTGGGAGCAGCTGTTCCTGAGGAAGATGCAAGAAATCACTCCAGACAGCCAGAGAACCGTTTACTTATCAGGAAATCTCTTCCTAATCCCTGCATAAAGTGATTAAACACAATGGCACATACCCCATATATTAAATATTAATCCTTCCTAATGTGGCTGCCGATGTTCTGGTTATCCAGCTCAGGTATGGAATGCTCACAGCATGCAATCCCTTTTCCATCCCTAACCACATAAATCCAACACACAAACACCAGTGCAAGGCAGCAGAAATATTTTGTGACCCAATTAGAGAACAAGGTTGGTATCTGGTGATGCTCCCTGAGCTTCGCAGCGAAATGGGATGGCCCCAAAAACAGCCTAGCAGCAGGGAAGGAGTTAAGAGCAGAGAGATGAATCAGCCCCCTGCCATAAACAGAGACATTTCCTACCTCTTAGCTCTAGTGCTTCTTCCTGTCCGCAGGCTTCCGAGATGCTTGTGTACCTGGTCACATTCAAATGATTTCCACCGCAACAGGAAAGAGAGGCATTTGGTTTATTTTAAGAGGAAAACCCGATTTGTGAATGAGACCAGAAAATGGCCATAAAGGCCAACCTCCCTCCCATCCAGCACCAACACGGAGGTGTCAGCCAGGAGCTGGTGCATCTGTGTTACTGTCTGCAGCTCTGCCGAAGCATACGGGCACTGCATTCTGGCCAGAAAGCACGAACAAAGTGTTACCATGGGGAGAAAAATAGAAAAATAAAGGTATTCTGCCCAGCACTGCATTGAATTGTAGCGATTCCATAGTGACTCTGTGGGGTTTCAAACCTATCTGGGAGACGAACAGCATACAAAACCCTGCAGCTCCCACGCTCGCTGCACAGCCATCGCCCAGCACTTTGCATGCAAAGCAAAGTGGCTGACAGGGCTCAGTTTATGCACACCGTCCTGCTGACCTGGGATCCCCCTCCTGCTGCAGAACTCAGCCCCCAAAATCCCCCAGCAAAGAGGGTCTGAGAGGAACAGACAGCGGAGACACGGAGAGAAGGATTTCAGAACGCTCTTCCATGAGGATGTTAACGTTGGACGTGACCCAACGGCACGGAGCTGCACAAAGCATCAGTTATGTGAGGGTGACATTTCAGAAAAGCAGAGCCATGTATCCTATTAGCTCGAAAACAATACAACCAGATCAATGCCAGGACAGCGGTGTCCCTGGAAACATCTCTTTTCTCTAACTAACACCGAGCAGAAACTCTGGAACACCCCCCCCAAAGCCCCTCCAGGATATCCCCACCCCAAAGGACAGAGCACAGCAACGCCCGTTTCTTTTCCAGCCAGTCCAGAAAGCAAATCTCCAAACCTTTTCAAGGCACACAGCGAGCTTCCCACCAACCACGGGCACAGAGGGGATGAGTAATATTTGAGCTGCACAGAGAAACGCTCTGCAAACGCCCCGAGTAAATTCCTGAGGCTCTCAGAACCCCATCCCTCCTCCTTACGAAACGGCCCAGCTGGAACCTTGCAGCACTCATTTTTCCTCATACAGCCCTCACACAGGGCTGGGATGCCTCGGGATCTTAACGAGGAGGTATTTAGCGAGAGGAAAAGATATTAATGATAATAATTAAAAAGCCTGCCTTACTTCTTGCCGTGTTCTTCGTCCTCTATGGCACGGGAGGGGAGAGATGAGCAAAGGTTGGTCGGGAGGAGAGCAGCACAGCGTGGACGTGAAGGTTGGGATGGAGCTTTGCCATCACTGGACCCAACCAACGTCTGCCCCTTTTCTCCAACACCTTCAGGGACGCTCACTGCTTCCCTGGCCAATCCATCCCAACGCATCACAGCTCTTTTAGAGGAGAAACGAGGAGAAACGATCCCCGCAACCCAACCAACCCTCAAATGCCCAACTTAAGGCCGTCGCCTCTCGACTTATCTCTACCGACACCCAAAAAAAAAAAAAAAAAAAAAAAGTTCGGGGGCTTTCTTTAAGCGAACCCAGGAACGATGAGGCCGAGCTCCACCGCACGGAAGGAAGGGAAAAGGATCCATTCGCGGAACCTCCCCCCCCCACCGCCGCCGCTGCTGCTGCTGCTCACCTGCGGGCGCGGGGCCGGGCCCGCTGCTCTCTCCCTCTCTCCCCGCCTCTCTCGCCGCCGCCCAACGGCTCCGCTGCGAGGCCGCGACGGCCGGGAGCATGGACGGAAGGGAAGGGACGCGGCCGCAGAAGGTTGAGGTGGGGGGGCCCGGCGCTGTCCAACGCCGCCTCTCAGCGCCCCGCCGCGGGGCTGCCGGCCATCAGCGGCGCCCCCGCTGCCGCCCGCCCGCTCCCGCTCCCACCGCCGCCGCCGCCGCCATGGTGCGGCTCCATGCAGGGCGCGCACCGCTGACAGGGGCGGGGCGGGCTGAGGGGCGGGGGTAATGGGGCGGGGCTACGAGGCAGTGGGCGGGGCTAATGGGAGGGACCAATGGGCGGGACCAACGGGCGGGACAGATGGGCTGGACAGATGGGCGGGACCAATGGGTGGGATCAATGGGCGGGATCAACGGGCGGGACCAATTGGCAGGACCAATGGGAGGGATTAGTGGGCGGGATCAATGGGCAGGGCCAATGGGCAGGACCAATGGGCAGGGCCAATGGGCAGGGCCAATGGGCAGGGCCAATGGGAGGGATCAATAGGCAGGACCAATAGGATGGATTAATGGGCGGGACCAATAGTAGGATGGACCAATAGGATGGGTTAATGGGCGGGGCTATTGCCGGTAGTGGGCGGGGCGAGACTTTGGCAGGCGATCCCGTAGTGCTGTGGTTCTTTCCAGGCAGGTTCCGTGCGCTGAAAGCACGGCTTGCAGCGAGCTCAGCTGGGGGTAGGGCTCCTGCTCACACCGAAAGCTGGAGAAAGGATGAGGATGCGTAATTAATATGATGGAATCATAGAGTGGTTTGGGTTGGAAGGGACTCTTAAAGTTCATCTGGTCCCACTCCCTGCAATAAGCAGGGACACTCACAGCTCCATCAGTGCTCACAGCCCCATCCAGCCTGACCTTGGGTGTCTCCAAGAATGGGGCATCCACCACATCTCTGGGCAACCTGTGCCAGTGCTTTGCTACCCTTAGCGTAAAAAAACATTTTCCTTATATCCAATCTAAATCTCCCCTCTTTTAGATAGAAACCATTTCCCCATGTCCTACCACAACCTGCTGAAGAGTCTGCCACCTCCCTTCTCATAGCCCCCTTTAAATATAGAACCTTTCCCCCCAGCTTAGCACATAAATCCCCAATCCAGGGCACCTCATGAAGATGCACACAGCAGCACTATGGGGATTGCTGAGTGGGTGCAACAGAAGCCACCACCTGAGCTTAGTGCCAATCTCACAAACTGCTTACGGGGCAGAGAAATATTTTCTGCTGAGCTTTTACCTTTATTTCAACGCAAAATGACAGCGACCTGACCCAAGCAGGGTGTGCTGTGCTCTGTTCATTCCATCAACGTTCTCCTGCTCTGTTTGAAACCTGGATTTGAGCTTGGGTGTTTGAGGGCTCAGTGTTCTCCTCCAGGACCCGATCCTTGTGGTGCGGGGATATTAAAGAATGACAGGAGTTGGAAGGGACCTCTGGAGATTCAACCTCTTGCTAAAGCAGCTCCCCTATATCAGGTAACACACGAAAGCGTCCGGATGGATTTAGGAATATCCCCCGAGAGGTAGAATCCGCCTCATGTTCGTATTCACATCACGCTGCTGCCATCTGCCGGCTTCTGCCTTGGGATGTGAACAGGTCTCCGTGCTCAAAGTCATGGCTTTTGGGGAAAACGTGTGATTTCGAACTTTATTTTTTGTTGTTGTTGTTGTCGTTGTTGACACAGTGGAAGGAAGGGATGCCATTCAGAGGGAACTCAACAGACTTGAAAGGTGGGTCCGAGTGAACCTAATGAGGTTCAACACATCAAAATGCAAAGATTGGCACTTGGGCTGGAGAAATCCCAGGCATTTATACAGATGGGAAGGAGCGGTCCTTGAGAACAGCCAGGCAGAGAAGGACCTGGGGGTCCTGAAGCTTAATTTGAGCCAGCAGCGTGCTCTTGCAGCTTGGAAAGCAAATGGTATCCTGGGCTCCATCAGAAGAGGGGTGGCCAGCAGGGACAGGGAGGTGATTGTCCCCCTCTACTCTGCCCTCGTGAGGCTCCATCTGGTACTGTACCCAGGTACAGCCTGGGGTTCCCAATACAAGAAATACAGAGAGCTGATGGAGAGGGTGCAGGGGAGGACCACAGATGATCAGAGAGCTGGAGAAGACAGACAAAGACAGGCTGAGGGAGCTGGGCTTGTTCAGGAGAAAAGAAGGCTGTGGGGTGAATCACTGCAGCCTTCAGTACCTGAAAGGAGCCTACAAACAGGAGGGGAATCAACTCTTTGAAAGGGTAGATAACAGCAGGACGAGGGGAAATGGTTTGAAGTTGAGGGAGGGGGAGATTGAGGTTGGATGTCAGGGGGAAGTTCTTTACAGAGAGAGCGGTGAGGTGCTGGAACAGCTGCCCAGAGAGGTTGTGGATGCCCCGTCCATCCCTGGAGGTGTTCAGGGCCAGGTTGGATGGGGCCCTGGGCAGCCTGGGCTGGTATTAAACGTGGAGGTTGGTGGCCCTGCGTGTGGCAGGAGGTTGGAGATTCGTGATCCTTGAGGTCCCTTCCAACCCTGGCCATTCTGATGATTCTATGCTATGTGATTCTGTGATCTGTGGTGGCAAAGAACGGTTCGGGGCGTCAGGAATTTATACCTGATGATAACACAGCACTTCGAACATTAAATCTGTCCACACTCTCAAGTTTAGGGCGCTCCAAGCCACATTAGGGCCCAAAGGCCAGGGCCAGGCCTGTGTCTCCCCCCAGGTCTCCGCCTATCACCGCCCTTCCCCCGGGGACGGACGGGAGCGGTGACCAATGAGAAGCGTGTACGAGGGTGGTGGGCGGGGCTCAGTGCTGACCCGGGACGGGCGGAGGTGGCGGCGGACGCAGGTCGGGCCGGGCACGGGATAAGGGCAGCGATAAGGACGGGGATCGGGGGAAGGACGTGGGCCGGGGCTGGGAGCCGGGTTGGGAGGGCCGATCTCTCTTTTCCTTCGTGTCCGTGGGATTTTGGAAGCTGCCGCCTCGAGGCCAGGCGCTGCGTCCGCTTTCTCTTCCTCTTTCAGTTGGATTTGAGAAAGTTTCAATGTTATTGAGGGGGGGGGGGGAAAAGCGTTTTCAAGACAAAAAAAAAAATCACCCGGGTGCAGCCAGCTGTGCAAACACAGGGACGTGGGCCCAACATGAAGGAAAAACGAAGTTCTGCTAAGAGTTAAACCTTAACCCTCCCCATTTATCCATATTCTCTGCGTATTTCATGTGAGATTTCCCCTGTTCTCTTTCCCCAGCCCAGCGACTGCCCTTCCTGCTGCTGACATCCCAGCTTGCTAAGAGAAGAAGCAAACAGCAGCTCCGCTCCTCAGCTCCGTTCACCTTCAGTCCGTGTCCCTGCAGGCACTGAGCCAGGATGGGTTTTGCTGAGGACAAAGTGTACAGCCACATCCTGAAGAACATGAGCAGGTTCTGTGACATCCACGTGGCGTCGCTGGTCGATTCCCTGAGCTGCCTCACCGATGCTGACAGGGTAAATTCTCTGTTGCTCTGAGTGTTGCTGGGCTGCGTGGGCGCTCTGCCCAATGTATGGATAGCATGGGTTGGTGTATAGATGCTTTACGTGTGCCCAGAGGGGTGAGGGTGGGATTTATCCACTCTGCTCTGCTGTCTGAGCCCCCATCTGCAGCGCTGCGTTCAGCTCTCAGCCCCACAGCAGAAGGACGTGGAGTTGCTGGAGTGAGTCAGGATGGGGTCGTGAGGATGCTCAGAGTTTGCAGCATCTCAGAGGGTGGTGATGCACTGGAACAGGTTGCCCCAAGGAGGTTGTGGATGCCCCATCCGTGGAGGCATTCATGGCCAGGCTGGATGTGGCTCTGGGTGGCCTGGTCTGGTGGTTGTTGACCCTACACATAGCAGGGGGTTGGAACCAGATGATCATTGTGGTCTTTTTCAACCCAGGCCATTCTGTGATTTATGATTCTATGAACTCTGCTGTGGAGACAGGCAGAGAGCTAGGAGTGTTCAACCTGCAGAAGGGAAGGCAACAGGGAGACCTCACTGCAGCCTTCCAGGACATAAAGGGGCCTACAGGAAGAGTGGAAGGAACTCTTTATCAGGGAGCATGGAGATAAGATAAAGAGTGACAGCTTTAAACTAAAAGAGATTTAGATTAGATATTAGGAAGAAATTCTTCACTGTGAACGTGGTGAGGCCCTGTCACAGTCTGCCCAGGGAAGCTGTGGGTGCCTCATCCCTGGAGATGCTCAAGGCTGGCCTGCATGGAGCTTTCAGCAGCTTTGTCTAGTGGAAAGTGCCCCTGCCCTTGGCAGTAGTTGCAACTGATTGATCTTCAAGTTCCCTTCCAACCCAAGCCATTCTGTGATTCTGTTTCTAAGGCAGCCTGCGCTTCTCACTGTGTTTTGTTCAGGATGAGCTTCACACCCGACAGGAGATGCGGGGGATCCGTGCCACTGTGTACAAATTTTACCAGCACCTGAAGTGCCGAAAGGGCTGGGTGATGGATCTGATCAATGCACTACACCAGAACAATGCAGGGCACCTGGCTGAGGAGCTGCAGCAGGTTTATGATCGCTACCAAGTCTGTAAGTGGCCTCACCACCCTTGGATCCCCCCACCGTGCTTGGATGCTTGTTTCTCTCAGTCTCCAGCTCCTGCTCTTGGTGGGGGGTCCGTATACAACAACTCTGTGTCGTGCAGGAGTCCATGGGTTTATGTGACTGTCCCCAGGGATATGCGTTGCCCCTGTGACATCCCAGAGATGGTAGAATGTCTGCAGGGTTCCTTGTCCAAAGCTGCTTGGGCTGACAGTAGCTTGCATGTCTTGTTTTCCTTGTCTTAAGGGGAGATGGAAACATGAATTAAGAGGCACTGCAGTCTTGGCCGTTATGGGGATGGAGCATGGGCATGAAAAGGCTGCCTTGGGCCCATGCTCATCTTCTGTCTCCTTGGTTTTCCTGGGCTGCCTCAGCTCCTCCAGGTGCCTTGGCTCCTCCAAGTGCTTCAGCTCCTGCTGCCTTGCCTGCTGTTTCCTCCGACGGTGCCCTGAAGCCATTCTCAGGGCCAAACTCCGCTGCAGAAGCCCCAAAGGCTGAGCCACCACGCTCCAACCCATCTGCTGGTGGCCATCCACCTCTCTCACCTGCTGCTGCCACCACTGCGACCTCAGCTGTGAGCTCGGATGTTTCCAGCA